TAATTCACGTCTCACGTGGCCAACAATATTTTGTCCGCATACATTCAATTACTCGTTCACTTGTTGCGTCACATTGTGAGCGTCTTATATATACCAGACTACCCTCAATCTAGTCACGTGACCTCGCTGACGCAACAATATGATGTTCAAATAGAAGTCCACTGTATCTCACTATGACTAACGTAAAAATATGCTTACAAGTTCATGGCTAATCAATCGAGTAATTGAATATATGCGATAACTAACACTTATCCAAATAATTCATTAAAACTATTTCACTGATTCACTGCTAGTTATACCAACTGAAAATGGAACTTACTTAATACTTCACTAATTCTAATATTTATAATCTACTCTAGTGTCTCGATATTCACCTAATTTACTAAATTGTTCATGTCGAACTTAAAAGATTCTATATATTATCGGCCTGTTTTGATAAAATTTTCGATCTTAAAGTTTTTTATCCCCATAGCTGACATCTTACATGAAGCATTGAAAATGTAGACTGTAACAATAAGTATCATTATATCTAGATATTTCACAAAGTCTCTTGATAATTAACGTTCACGAACAGCCTACGTATTTTAGGGCTACTTTTATAATCTTTCTAAAAATGTCGTCATCATTATGTTAGAAGATTAATTAAAACATTCAAAATATAGCTTACAAAAACAGTAAATTAAAGCACATTGTATAGCATTTTTTCGTCAAACTCACTACTAATATAAATTGCCTTTATCTTTCCAAATAAACTTCGTCATTGATGAGGAAAATCACTAACCATAAGATTAGATGTTTGTCAGGTTTCGAATATGGGCTGGAATTATTTTAATAGGTGTCTATGACTTGTTGGGAATAAATTCGAACAATAAATGGACAGCACACAATCAACTTGTTTTAAAATAATATATTCAAAGCAAGTCAAACGTATGTACAAAAATTCTTTACACTACAGAATATCACATTTGTATGTAAAGCTCTAAATAATTCTCTTTTCTTGTCAAAAGTCCATACAAGCTGGTTCAGTTATTTGAACCCAATTGACAAGACGAATTATTTATTTTATCACAATAGAATCGGTGGGTTACCGCAATTTTATACAGAGCTCTAAATAATTATCCTTTACGTCAAAAGTCCACACAGGCTAATTTAGTTACTTTAGAATCCAAATTACAAGACGAATTATTTTTCTCTACTCTGTTTCTCACTGCGCAATCTGCGATAAATTCACTTACGTTACTCTGTGGGTTTCCACAGTTGTATCTCGAACTTTAAATAATTGTCTTCTTTTTGTCAACCCCCCCAGTGGCACAGCGGTATGTCTGCGGAGTTACAACGCTAAAATCCGGGTTTCGATACCCGTGGTAGGCACAGCACAGACAACCCATTGTGTAGCTTTGTACTTAATTACAAACAAACAAAACCTTTTTGTCAGAGTCCACATAGACGCGTTTAATTACTTTAGAACACCCTTTGACAAGACACATTCTTCTTCTTATTTTTATTTAACATTTAACTCAGGGTGCACCTTGTTAATCCACATTTCTTTACTATCCACACTCCACAAGATGTTAAAGTGTTCTGAAGTGACATTTGTGTCACAGTCCCGTAAACAGTGGTGAAGGGAGTGCAGATAGTAAAGACATGCTCGCACTAAAGAAAATTTGTGGATACACAAAATGCGTCCTGAATTTAAAGATAATCAAAAGCGTCACCTTTGCTTCTCCTTATCAGTGTTAAACTGTGAAACTCACTTGAAAACATCGCACGTTACGGCTAAACTAACAATCACGCAATCTAACTTCACTTTTTCTTACTTATATTCTTTTACTTAATTTATGCTCACTTGGTCGCCTATATAATACATACATACATTACCCAACTGCAAACTACGAGACACTATGATGTAACAATACTCACTTAAGACAACGAGAAAAATACAGAAGGTTCGACTTAAAGTGACGTCAAATTATAACAATTGAACTAGACACACAACGTACAACTGTTACTGAGTTAAATAATGAAATTTGTCATAACTATCGCCTTTTAAAATAATTACTTTTAAAACTTTTGTTATGAAAACTAAACAATCATTAAGTACTAACGTTACCGCTAACTCTTGAGCTACTTCTTTAACTAATAGTGGGATTGACTGTCACTTTAAAATGCCCCCGCAGCTCAAAGGACGAGCATGTTCAGGGACAGGGATTCGAACCAGCAACCCGCAAACTGCAAGTCTAGCATCTAACCACCAGGTACAGGGACAGCTAAGCTTAAATAACTTTAACATGACACAATATCCTAACATACACATACTCACATACACTATTGGGAATAATTATAGAAATGAAATGGATGTAAAAGGCAAATAATATAGAAATACCAATGCTTTATCGTGTGAAAATGAGCTCTATCAGAGTACAGTCATGTATGTAAAGTTTACACTGTGACTGGTTGTCATCTAACCAATCAGAAAGCGTCAAACCAGTATAAAACCTATATAAGTAAAAGTAGTCACATTATGTTCAGAACAGAAATACTGAATGACAGGCATATAGAAATCTAACTTTAGGCTCAATAAGGGCATTCCATGAGAAGAATTACTCCATTTTGAGTAGAAACTGTATTCAAGACTGAATATATTACATGAAACTGGCACTGTTAATAATAGAAGAGGTTGAGATAGAAAAGTGAAACTCCCCAAAAGAGACGTTAGGTGTCTCAAGGTATGTAATTTTTGAAACATATAATGGTCAAGTAGAGATCTTGCCAAGATCTTGCTGCAAATATAGGTGTGAATGTTTCTTTGACAACAGTAAAATATGCGTTAGAAATGGTTTCAATGTACGTATTTTTACTCGAAAACCTGCTGCTAAGGAGCAGTAACCAAACAAAATGTTGAAATGGACATGGAACCACATACAATGTAATGAGCAAACCTCAAGGTGTGTGCTCTTTAGATATGAATATAAGTTAAACATTTTCAGCAATAATCATAACAATATTTTTGACGGCTGAGAGGAATACATGTCGTAGTCTACAATGAAGAATGGTGGAGAATCAGTACTCATCGATGTTGATGATCTGCCTGATGGCTACTTCACTTCTGACAACCACAGACAGTTTTCTAACAGGAGCTCATTGGATAGGAATTCGTCTTCCAACAAGACAGTGATTCAAAGCATACAGTAAATCTTGTGAAACAACACCTTGGCGGTGAAGAGGACGATAGAACGCTCAAAACCATGAATTTGTCTGCACAAAATTGCGATATGAACATTCTTGAGATTGATTGGGTTTATCTGAAATTCATAAGATCAAAAACGAGACCAAAAAACTTAGCTTATATGCAGTATAGGACATTTAGGACAATATTACACAATCTTACATTGATAACATTGTAAGACAGTATAAAAGTGAATGCTCTGTGTAAAGCAAGGGGGTCACTTTCAAAAATTCAGTGCGTTGTACAGCTTACTCACTTATCTATTGCTTTTGTGTGACAGTCTTTATTATCATTAATAAATTCGCCAGCTACCTGCAGTTACTCATTTTACAACTCCTGTATGAGTATCGCTTGTGTGCTTCTGTTTTTGTTTCCAGCACATGGATAGATAAATATACCAAACATTTGGAATAAATATTAATTCTAATTTATTTGATTTCCAGAGCCCAAGAACCGAGCATTTCTGATTACACTTACAGCTCAGAATTCTCTGAAAGAGTCAATCCTCTGATGTTGGCTGCTCAACAGGGATCGTACCATTTGATTCGCCTTCTGATTGAGAGGGGACATTACATTAGACGCCCTCACATTCCTTCGTGTAATATATACTTTCTAAATACCGTAGTGTTTTGATTCTGTATTATAATTTATTAATTTAACTCTTAATTATTTATTGCTCAGGATTTAGGTACTCTAGGTCAATTAATTAGGTGTCTTTAATTATGATGTGTTTATGTGATTAATTATTTGTTGGAATTATACAACAAATAACTAAAATGGAAATCATTTGGGATTATTTCCCCCACGCTTAAAAGTTATAATTGGTGTTTTTGAGTTTTATTTGCAGATAAGGTGAATACCATTGGGCACACCTGCCTTCTGCTACAAATTACCACGATTAAAATGAAATTTCCCGGTTATTATATAAACTGAAACTTATATAACATGTTCTTGATGGGATTTTAGACCTTAAATGTTTTAGTATGGCTTAGAGTTACAAAAAAATAAATATTGATTATTTTAGTACTGTTGAAAAACGTTATTTACGTTCTCATAAGAATATTCTTTATTTAGAATGTTTTGAAAGAATCTAGGTTTATTTTCAAGTCATAACATGGTTTTTAATCGTAAAGTTTAATCGCATTAAATTCGTAAGTCAGAAAAAACATAACTCCAGGTTTTTAAAGATGAGATTAATTACAATTATGTTAGGTAAGTTTTTGCATTTATAAGATTTTTTTATTAGCTTTTAAAAGCTGTTTCTGAGTTTGACTTTCTATATTTGAAAAAGTTTGTTCAAAAGAAATGCTTCATTGTAGATTTAATCATCATAGACTTTTGTTTATAAATAAACATTATGATGTTTCAAATTTATCTCCTTATAAACTTAATGATGTGTAAAATAGAGAATTTGCACATGGGTTATCCATAGACGTTTTCCTAAGACATATACTTTGATATCTGTTTTTTCATCTTTTGAACTTACGTTAACACGCTAGGGAAAGACTTTTGATACAAATAGAACTTATTTTAGCTTCCTTGCATTGCCTTTAAAAAAAAACTACAACTAAGAAAGATATTTCACAATCTATCTCAAGAAGTTTATCAAGTTCTTATTAAACTCGAAAACATACTGACTTAGGTTTAAGAAAACCATAGAAAGGGAAACAAGATAGTAATCATAGATAAAAACCAACCATATCTATATAAATAATACGCTTGGTTTGTCTGTCCGGAACTTTTCTCGCAAATTTCTCAATCAAACGCTACAAATGTAATATTGTTAGAAAAGCTTTTGTTCGATGAGTTCAGATTGCATATTGGCTTTCCATTCCGAATCACCTTACCTGATTTTTACTTTGTCAAACTTTTTGATGCAATGAGTATGCTACATGTTGGCAATATGTCGTTTGTCGTCATGCGACGAGTGGCTTCGATTTCAACTTTAGTTTTTTTATTTGCAAAGTATTTCACACAAACGACACTTAACCTGCATGTAATTATAAAAACCAATTTAAATTACACTAAATACAATTGCTATGGGCTTTCTAGACATATTTTGGTTTTAAAATACGTATAGTTCGTTGTGAACACGCATTCAGTCATTTCTGCATACTCAGCTAAGTTTGCCTTCATTACAATTTTATAATTACTTTACTTTGTAATAATTTAGTTTCAATTCGTTTCATAGGTTGTATGAAACCTTTTGGCTATTTTTTACTTTAGTACGGGTTTTAATCTTCGTTTTTTTTATTTCAACTCGTTAAACTCTATCATACACTAAACGCTCATAACTGTTTCATTCTCTGTAAACTATTATAAATACTATTACTATACTTTGTTGTTTGCTTTACGTGTAGTTTTATTAAATAAACTTACGTGCATGTAGTTTATTAAATAAATCTACATCTACGTGAGGTTTTTGTCTGACCACATAAAATAGACCAGGGTTTATCGATCTAACACATAATATCTGGAAGACAGTGTAGCTTAAATGCTGTGCGTGAAAATGATAGTATAAGGAAACTTCAAGTGAAGGGTAGGGAAACTACCACAAATGTTTTGTGGGTCGCAGCTAGTATTAAAGGATAGTACAAAATGTTTGAAATTAATTAAATAAAGTGCCAACATACCTACAAAAGAAGTAAAATACAAATATAGTTACTGCACTCAAAAACAGATAAAATTAGACTAGTTGGTTCTTACAATAGAATAATACATGGTTTTCCAAAGTTGGATGTTATTGTAAGGCCATAAAACAAGCAGCAATGTATAAGCTGAACCAACATGGTTAATGTTCGCCCACAGCTTCTAAAAGAGTAAGTTGAAGCCGAAAATTAATCAAGTTAGCTCAACTCATATATTGCTGCTTGTTTTATGACTTGAAATTTTTTGTAAAAAACACAATTTTCACATATTGGCGCTTGCAATAATAAATTATCGTGTTTTTGTTTTGTTGTTGTGAATTCTCTGTTGAGTATACAAGAAAGGGGTATACTGTTAAAGACAGCTTTAAATATTTCGCATTCTGAAGAGAACTTGAAATTCAGTCAGAATGGGTACTTATGTAGTCTTTATATGGAGTCTTTTAACACTGACACTAATATTGTCCTACAAGTGACTATTAATTTTTGATGAAATTCTTTTTTTCATTTGTTCAGACGTAATGAACGGACATTTTATGTATATGTTTTCCAAGATGAACTCTTTTTGCAGTTAGATGATTATATTTTGTAGTTAATGAGAACATTTATGATAACATTTGTGGTGTTAGTATGCGAGTTAACATTTTTACCAGGTATGGTTAACTTGTTCTTGAGTTTTCATTACAGACGATATCTTGATGATTACTCTATTATTTTTCAGTCACAGAGCCACGTTGATGAATCTTTAAAATATCTGAAAAGCAAACAGTTTACAGCTGAATGACAACAAAGATATAATTTGCCATTCTAGGGTACATTAATATATAAAAAGCAGGATACCTTTGAAGCAATTGTATATTGTAAACCAATTTTTTTTCTGGACTTTGTGATAATTTTAGTAATTTTCATTCTAAAGCATTGTAAGTGAATTTAGTTTGAAGTTAAGCACAAAGTTACACAATGGGCTATTTGTGCTTTTCCCACCACGGTTATCGAAACCCGGTTTCTAGCTTTGTAAGTCTGCAGACATACTGCTGTGCCACTAGGGGGCATCCACAGATTTAAATTCAATGTATATTGAAAACCTTTGTAAGAACATAAAATTTCTTTCATTTTAAAAATCTAATACTGAAGTATTAAATATTCGTTTCTGAGCTATAAATCTGCGTTCCTTTCTTTTGATGAGGAAAATGTGGACTGCCAACTCGTATAAAAAGGCTGCATGCTTGGTAAATTGGATAATTAATCAAGACCTGCATTACGTTTTTACAAAATGTAACATTCCTATCACTAACTGGAACTTTGTTATAGCTAGCAGAACTGAGGATATAGAACTTATTGATAATTCGAGAGATTTTGATAATTGCAAATTGTCCAACTTAAATTAAGAAGAAAATGACGACATCACTTCTGAATTTTAAGGTTTGTGGTAAAATTTTTATGTCACTGTATATTTACGTTCAAGATCTCAAATACATGAACGCAATATATGTATTGCTGTTTGTATCACTTAATTCATGTTAATTATAAGTTCGATACTCCATTATCATCATGCTACAAACTTCATACGCGTTATACGGCTATGTGTTTATCCAGTGTAAATGTGAACAAACTATTTTTCCTTGATCCCCTGCCCTCCAGTGGCACAGCGGTATGTCTGCGGACTTACAACGCTAGAAACCGGTTTTCGATACCCGTGGTAGGCAG